CCTTCACTCCATGGCTGGTCTACCTAAACACTGATTGGTTTCCACAAAGTGGAAGACTTGGAGTCAATGATTCTCACTGGTTAGGGAATAAATGTATACTCCCAACATTAAACCTCAAATGACCATTGAGGCCACATCTCCCACAGTAAAATCTGAGTTCCATGTGCTACAAGCCATACTTGAGTCCAAGGCCTTAAGTCATATAAGCCATCTTTTAGGCTTAAAGATGCAGCTCAAGCTTAGCCTGGAATCTACTTCCTTCATTGTCTAATTAGGGAAATTATTTTCCAACTTCTAAGTGTGGCACAAGGTCCTTCTGAAACTTCCCTTGGTCCCTTTGGAGAATGTCCCTTTCCACCTATGCTTCAATATTTCTGAGCTCTATGCTCAGAAATGTGTTTTCTTATGTCTCGTTTTCTAAAGAATCTCTTACTACTCTGCTTCTGTGCCTCTGATCATATAAAATAATATTTATTGACATGAACTAAAAAAAGTTACAAGTATGAAAACTTGCAGAGGGAATTTCCTTTTGCTCTCCTACTATTTCCATCAACACTCAACAGATGATCTTGTGCAAATCCAGAAGTCAGTATGCCATATATAAATTACATGCTAAACTATGAAATCAGACAGTAAATCTTATGAGTATTCATCCTGATTCCCCTTATTAACAAGTGGATATGTGTTAAAACCTCAAATCATTATATTAAAATTTCATTAGTCATTCTAATCCTCCTTACAAATTACTTTTGCTTCTTAAAATCTTGGATTTAAACTAAAAGAGATCTTTAATAGGATTTTATCAAAATCAGCAACTAATTAAAATGGGAAAATAGTTTCTCTTACCACTTTTCTATCTCCATTTCTCACCATCATCAGAGATGGTAATACCACAGTCATACTACTTTATCTCAACCCTAACGTAGACCTTCTATCCAAATAGACTCAAAAGTATTTTCTAAGTTAATTGATATACACAGCTACACTGGAGGAAACAGCTCATGTATCATTGAGTACTCAGGACAACATCAAAAGTCAGTATTGCTTAAAAGAAACTTGAAGTTTTGCTGTGGGATCTGTCACTTTAACTTTGTCATAAACAAGAATGTCAATTCTCTCTCTGTCTTATTTTTCCTTCTATTTGGTAGGCAGTATAATATCAGGGGAGTATTTCACAATCTCCACAGGGGTAATTCTTGTACACATTTTTATTGTTTAATACTAGAAAGAATTAAGTATGTAATTTATCAATGGCTTGGTTTTTAGTTATCTTTTTCTTTTCTTGATCTTTCACTTGGCTGGTGATGCTAAAGCTCACGTTCTAAGTCTGTTGTACCATTGTCATTGTATAAGGAAAACAGGACAGAGGACATAGGCCAGAATTCTTACATTCTTACTGGATCTCATTGTTGGATGCTACTTAGACTTATTATTTGTCATTATTGAATGAGTAATGCAGACCTTACAAGGAAAAGGGCTTAGAAAACCACTTGACATGTCTTTGTCCTAATTTATAAAAGTAGTCAGTTAGCTGGGTGCTGGTGGCTCCTGCCTGTAATCTGAGCTACTCAGGAGGCAGAGATCTGAGGATCACAGTTCAAAGCCAGCCCGGGCAGGAAAGTCTGTGAGACACTTATCTCCAAAAAAACACTAGAAAACTAGAAGTGGCGCTGTGGCTCAAGTGGTAGAGCACTCACCTTGAGCTGAAGAGCTCAGGGAGCGCCCAAGCCCAGAGTTCAAGCCCCACGACTGACCAAAAAAAAAAAAAAAAGTCAGTAGTCTGGCTTAGCTAACTCATAAGTAATGCTTTAGTCTTAGGCTTGGGGATGGGGTAAAAAGCTTTATAGAAATTAAGTGGGCACTGCATGATCTTTCTTAATGATGTATTCTCTCCAGTATTTTCCTACACTTTAGTGTCCAGTTAGGAAAGACTCAAGAATTCAAAGGACTTAGGCACCAGTGGTTCAGTACTAGAATCCTAGCTACTCAGGAGGCCCCAAACTAAGGATTGTGATTTGAAGTCCCATGAGACTCTTATTTCCAATCAACCACTCAAAAACCAGAAATAGAGCTATGGCTCAAAGTGCTAGAGTGCTAGTCTTGAGCAAAAAGAGCTCTGGGAGAGTTCCCAGGCCTTGAGTTTAAGCCTGATGACTCACAACAGAAGAAGAAAGAAGGAAGAAGCGGGGCTGGGAAGGTGGCTCAGTGGTAGAGTGCTTGCCTTGCATGTATGAAGCCCTGGGTTCGATTCCTCAGCACCACATAAACAAAAAGAAAAAAGCCGGAAGTGGTGCTGTGGCTCAAGTGGTAGAGCGCTAGCCTTGAGCTGAAGAGCCAAGGGACAGAGGCCAGGCCCAGAGTTCAGGCCCCAAGACCGGACCCTCCTCCCCCCCCCCCCCCCCCCCGAAAAAAGAGCTGAGGGACAGCGCCCGGGCCCAAGGTTCAGGCCCCACAACTGGACCCCCCACCCAAAAAAAAGAAGGTAGAAGAAGAGATTATTATTATTATTGTTATTTAGAAGGCTAAGTGCAGTAGTTCACAATTGTAATCTCATATAATATATATATCCATCACTTTCTAAAAAATTACTTAAAGCAAAAAATGGTTTTAGGCATGACTCAAGTGGTAGAACACTTGCCTTGCAAAGAAGAGGTCCTGAGTTTAAACTTTAAGTATCTTGAGGTAAGAGAAGCACTCCATTTATTCAGTAGTCTTTGGTTAAGATCCTACCTTTGTTGCTGGTTAGTTTTGTATTCTGGGAAATTAGTTACTCTCTATGGTGTGCATTAATTTATGGTCTATGTAAGATAAGAGGGTTGTACAAGACCAGAACTTCCTAATATGTATTCCAGAACAACTAAAGAACACGAATAAATGTGTGCCTTGCCTTATGTATGCTTGCAATCTGCATTTTAGAATATCAATGCTTCTATTGCACATTGAATCCACAGTATTTCCAGCTTTTCACGTAAGGTCTGTAAACATGTACATGTGTCTATATGAACACATAGAAAAGTGAACTGTGATTCGAATATGTATGACTTGGATATTAATCTTGAGAAAGTCCTTGATTCTAGTTGAGAGAAGTTAACTTTATAACTCTACTTCACATATTGTTAGAACTCAAAATTTGAAGCTTCAATCTGAAAACTTGCCATTTTAAGTGACATAAAACTTGAAACTGAATCATTGCCAGGATTCTCCCATTTGGGACTGTTAACTTTCAATTTTCTGCATTATCAATTATGAGGAATAAAGCAATTATGTGCTATCTTACACTGATGTGAGTGTTTACTGCCATGGTGGGTATCCTTGAGATCCAAGTCTTTAGCTAAGCTACCTTGAGCCTTGAGCACTAACTCTGGTAGCTATGGCTCAGGGAAAGTCGGGGAAGAAATCCAAATGACCAAATGACAGAAAAGTAAATTCTTCTCATCAAATAAACTGAGATTATCTTGTTTATATTGCATTAAGTCAGTAACATTAATGTTTTGAATAAAGAATATCAAAAATAGTAAAGACCAACATTTTGGGAAGTTTGTACATTATTTTCCTTCTAGAAATTAAATAAAAATCCTGGGTTATATAAGGGTAGAAAAGAATCCTAACTTCTTTGTTTTTTATTCAATGTTATTTTAGTATTTCGCTGTGCTTAAGCAGAAGTTGTCATAGACTAAACAAACTTATAAAAGACATGAAAATTACATGACAACCTATGTTCTCATGTTAATCTGAGCAATTGGAATATAACAAACCAATTCTGTAGAATAGTGGACTTTTAAAAAATAAGATACAATGGCCATTATTAACATATTAACAGAAACAAACTGTGTATGAGATAATAATGACACCTTTACCATCAGATCTTAGCTTCTAAATGAGAAAGGTTACAATAACTGCACAGAGATTTAAATCATCCTCTTTCCTTATACAATCCAGAACATGAGAATATTTATACATCTGCCACAAAATATTATATCCATATCTGGAAAAATTATTAGCAAGTATCTAGGACTCCATTTTGCCATTTAGGAAGAAAACCAAAATCATATATAGACTTGACAGCCAATAATTTGAGTTAAAATTGGGCAAATCTTGATATTTCAGTAGCAGCATTGAGGATATTTTTTATTATATATATAAGCATATACATGCTCTCTCTATTTAAGTGTGTGTTCACACATATACACATATTGATGTATATCTCATACTTAAACAAAGCTATTCAACTTTTCCCTCTAAACTCTCCAGTCTTTGAATTAAGAAAAAAATGACTTGGGATAGCAGAGGTAAATTCTCTATTAGCTGGATAAACTATTTATTGGTAGCCACAGTCCTGTCCTGTGTGTGAGGGCTTGTGCCCAGGAGACAAATGATCAAAGTGTCTCATTGTGAAATGCCAATAGGACACTTTTGAAAAAGAAGTGTTCGAAACACATTTTCGTTAAGCCCCAGTTAAATCAATGTTACACCAAAAGCTAACCACATTCTATCACAATCAGAAACACCTAGCTGTATTCCCCCTGCCCCTCAGCACCTTGTGACTAATGAAACACACTGAGAAATCTTCTTTGCAAATCAAAAGTCTTAGGAGAATGAAATCACTAAGGGCATGAGGTGTGGTAAAAACACCACCTTCACCATCAAAAAGCCAACCTGTATCATCACCCCACCGCAGAGATCTAACTTCCCACCTTGGAAATACTTTTAACCCACAAAATACCATAAGCCTAGAGAGGTTTCAAATAGAAACAAAACGCTACAAAACCCATTTCCCCCCCCCCCCCCCCAGGGCTAGAGATCTGGGAGTGGGGAGGGGGAGCTGAGGGTCACAGTTAAATAAACCCTCGGGTTGTTGCTAGGCTGCTCTGTCAATCAAGCATGCATATGTTAACAACTTTGACTGGGGAATTGAAGCCTTCACAACTTTAGAAGCATCTGGATCAGCCGCTTGGGAACCAGACCTAAGCAAAGGCACAGACTGGAAGCCACCACTTTACCTTCAGAAAAATCAATCAGTCCCAGCAAGTGAAGCAGCTTCAGAGACGCACATATAATCACCACAATCCCCACCGTTTGCAGTCCTTCCGATTCCCACTCAAGAGTCAGCATCGCATCCCACAGCCTCGGACCCCTTAGGAGTGGAGGGAGTTAATTAAAGAATCCGAGCAACCACACACGTAGGGCTTGGAACAAAGACTTCCAAGTGTGTGTGAGTGTGAGTGTGTGTGTGTGTGTTGGGGGGGAACTTGAGCAGCTCCTCACAGCTGCATCAAGCAAAGCAGGCGGCCCCCCGGGGTGAGGACAGACCTGGGCTGAAGTCCAGCCTCTCATGCTGCTCCTCTCATTTGTGTTGCCTGGCCCCATACACACACAGGCACAGCCCACCAGCTTCCAAGGACCCGGTGCGGCAGCTGCAGCCAGCAGGTACTTGGACGTCTTCAGAGCAACCAGGGCAACATCTGGGCGAGACCTGAGAACTGAGACTGGAGGCGGTGTCCGCGGTGGAGCAAGGCACCCTCCCAGGAAACTTGCCCAAGCCTTCCACAGCCTGATGACCAGAGCCGGCTGGCTGGGCAGGGCTGCCCTGCGCCAGCCAGCAGCTCGCTCGCTGTCCTTTTATTTTAGTTTATTTTTTTTCTAGCAGCTGCTCTCTCCTCCCAGAGCCTCCTCTGGGAGATAGCTCAGCCTGCTAGCTCTCTGAATGCTAAGGGGTAAAAAAAAAAGAAAGAATCCGTTCTAATTGCAGGTGCTTAGACTCCCTTTTAGAAAGCCCCTGGTGACATCCCTGGGACAGTTAATTTTGGAGGTGGGGGGTAGAATAGGAGGAGGGAGAAAGCAAGAAGAAAATGATTCAGTGACTGTGTCAGACAAGTGCTTCCCAGGGCTCCTGACAACTCCTCAACTCCAATGTGCCATTCTAGCGCCCGCAGAGTCCAGGGCATTCATTCCTGAGGGACTGAGTCCTTGTTTTTACAAACATGGATGCAAGGCAGGTGAGGTGGGTGGAACCAACGCTTTTTAAAGTGATGTTCAGAAATACCCTCCCGTGTGTGCTGGACCAATCGTTGTCCAGTCTCTTACAAACCCAGCCTCTTTCAGTTTCACTGACAAACAAACAACAACAACAACTTTTGATGACAAACCTGAGACTTTTTTGGCTCAGCACACTCGCTTGTGAAGAGTCAGGTTCGGCAGGCATCAGGGTCTGTTTTGTTAATCAAACAAGACCCTCAAATGATTCCCATTGAACCAGGAAGCCTGGATTGCACTAGTTTCAAGGATGGCATCAGGTATCCTATTCCAGAAGATTCCAGGCAACAAGGCAGCCTGTGGGAAATTTCAGGGACTCTGTGCCTGACTCGGTATTCACTATACTGGTCTTCTCAGACTCTGTTGACTCACTGCTCAACAATGCCAGGAAGAGAATTATCGGATGGACTATACACTTGCCACTCACTGCCAAGCATGAGGGCTTTCAAGCCATGTGTCAGACCTCCCACAGGGGAGCTTCTTCAGGTCCGATTTCTTCTCTGCTATGTGACTTCTGCAAGGCACTTACCCTTTCTGAAAACCCTTCCCATTCAGTGACTCCCATAGTGTAATACAGCATTGAAAGCTCTCCATTGATAAGGAGCTGGAATTGTGGGAATTAAATGTCCCCAGAATAGCAGTTCATATTTGCAGAGCATTTATGATGTGTTTATTAATATTACTGACCAACAACCAACTCATCCTTACAGCCCTGTATGATATTCTGATCATCTTTATTTCTTAGGCAAGGAAACAGACCCATAGAGAAGTTTCTTTTTCTTTTTTTTGGGTCTGGTTGTGGGGCCTGAACTCTGGGCCTGGGCCTCAGCTCTTCAGCTCAAGGCTAGCGCTCTATCACTTGAGCCACAGTGCCACTTCCGGCTTTTTTCCTTTCTGTTTATGTGGTGCTGGAGAATCGAACCCAGGGCCTCATGCATGGAAGGCAAGCGCTCTACCACTGAGCCACCTTCCCAGCCCGATAGAGAAGTTACTTGCCATGCTATAGGCATCGTATCTAGAAGGCAATAAATAGGCTGTTTAGTTATTGACACACATTTGTGAAGCTGAGGTAATGAAGTATAAATGTTACTTAAATAATAAAATAATGAACAGTTGTCTAATACTCCCCTTTGGGGGATTGCAATTTAACAGGGAGGAATGAAGGCAAAGAGTGGAACGTAACCAAGAGTGTAGCAGCAGCTTGTGGAGTAGATGCCTTTGTCAGACTCAGTAGGAGGACAAGAGAGGACTTCAACTCCCCTTGGGAAGAGGGGTGGCGTCAACAGTAGTGGTGGAGGGCCTTACCGTTACTAGAAGCAGTCTGTCCCACTTATGCTTGGGACAGAAAGACCTGAGTTAAGTCTGGCTTTGTGCCTCGTTGGCTGCATGACCTTTGGAAGCTGCTCCATTTCTGAGTCTCCGTTTTCTCCGTTTAAATTGAGAATGTCGCTGGTTCTTTTTCACAGCTAATTGAAGAAGTAACTGAGACTAAGTGATAAAACCCAGTCCCGGGTGATGCTGCTCAGCTGTGGACTAAAGGAATTCTGATGGAAGAGCAAATTCTTTAGAGGCTCCGGAGGGATTCCTCAGATGAAGTGAGTGTCTCTGTCCCCTACCCTGCACCTGCCTTATGCCCCAGAGACTTGCTTCTCCTCTGTGTACCAGGAGGACATTTTGGCCACCATAATGGTGTCTTGAAGTTTGAATAATATGTTTATGAGAGAAACCTTTTCATCTATTTGCCCACCCACTATCTATCCTCATATTTTATTTTTCAGTTGTGCTAGCAAGTCAGCAAAGGTAATGCTGGCCTTAGTAGATGATAGGGAAAGAAACGTTTAAGGAACTCTGTTTGAAATTTCCACTACAGTTAGCTATAAGATGACACGACTTAAAAAAAAATGACATGAAAGTTAATTAGGTCAAATCCAATGTCATTATGTCTTTTAAATCTACATAATACCTGATGACACTTGAAAATAACTAAAATACAGAGAAGTTACGTGACCCCATCAAAGACACAACAGTTAGAAAATCCAGACCGGATCATAGTCACAACAGTTTAGAAAATTCAGAAGTCTCATTTGTATTTTCTGGTCCCAAAATTCAGTTTTTCCCCTTTTACATCCCCAGTAGAATTCATCAAAATATTTGTTATTTGATCTCTTGACTACTAATTAGGCAAATATTTAAAAACTGCATCCATGTTCCTGGACTGGAACTTGCATTGTCCCTGAAGTTCATGTATGTACCCATCGATGGAATGAGATCCATTCTAGAAAGGCTTTCTCTAAAGGCAATGAAAGTTGCCTTTCTTCCTTGGTTTTCTGAGCTCCTTGTGTAGCTGCAGGATCTCCTGGCCCTCAAAGAGATCAGTAATTCTTCTACTTGATACTCTCAACCCCATTATTTTACATAGTAGCGACATGCCACTAAGTTTCATATTTTATCTGAGAAATCTAGGGAGGCAAGAAACATCTGCAAGGGATATACATGGCTGTTTATTATGAAATATAATAAATCCAACTGATAAACCTTCTTTGGTATTAACCTGCAAGAAACTGGAGGGTTCTATTGAAGAGAAAAGCCACATTGAGTCAGAAGAAGAGTTGTGACTTTCTTCCCCAGAGAGAATGGGCTCATAGGAAGATGGCACTCACAAAAGCCAACAGCTATTGGAATGGCCACAACATCAGGACTGGACAGATCAAGTATATTTTCTCAAGATCCTTCTGTCAAAATATTCCAACATTGTCACTATGTGCCTCTCTTTTATTTGTGTTGGGCATGCGTGCACACACAGGAATCACATGGATTATTCCTCTTATTTGACTGCTAGAAGAGGTGAGACCTGTGTGCTTAGAGCAACACACATTCTCCAGCAGTGCTGAGTGAAGCACAAAGTAGATGTTTAGAGCATGCTCACTCAGATGGCCAGACGGGGGCCTTGATACATCTACTTCCTACACATGAGGCCTCTGAAGTCACCAAAGCATTGCTAGGCCTTTGGACTATTTCTAGAGAGACTTTTCTACACTGAAGAGTTAAGTGATCTATAGCATAATTAGCATAGAATTAAGGAGGGACTATGTATTGCAGAAAAATAAAAATACTTTCAGTTAGAAGATAAGAACATTTCCACAAAAGAGATATGTAAATTATCCATGAAGTCCAGGAATAAATATGCCAGGTGTCTGTGTTACTATTTGTGAATACCAACTATTGTTATCTGTTGTGAGTGCTGTTTTCCCAAACCAGAAACACTGGTGCACACCCATTATGAACTAGCACCCAGTGAATGTGAAAGCCATTTCTGAATCTTTGGCAAAAGGGACTAAGTTATATTTTTTAAATAATCCAAGCAGAGGAATATCTATCTGCTCGAGCTCCAAATGCAAAAGCTAGAGCTATAGAATAGAAGTCTCTCTTTTTATAGACCTTCTATGTTTTCCAGAGCTCATAGTAGATCCCTACGGCAGCTGATCTGTCTGTGATTGTTTATGTTCTGTCATTGTACCACATGTCTCTGATAATGGAATTGGTTTGTATTAGCTTCCTATGGCTGCTCTAACACATTATTACAAACTCGACAGCACAAAGCAACACAAATTCTCCATCTTAAAGTTCTGCAAATCAGATCTAGTAAGTTTCACTCATTACAACATATCCTTTGCCATATAACCTAGTGCTGCCATCAGTTTTCAAAAGTAAGATGTAGTATCAAAGGGGAATTGTTCTGCCTTCCATACAGTTGTAATACATTCTTAAATAAAATGTACTAAGCTGAAACTCACACTAGTGGACACTGTTTTTAGTAGAAGCAAGCCTATTGTGGTAAGCGTGCATGAACGTGGGCATGTATATATACAGGAAAAAAATATCTTTTCTTTGAAAAGGAAAGGAGAGCTTTAAGTAGCATTTCTATCAATAAACTTCCAGTATTCCAAGAGTAAGGGCCCTGAGGAACTCATACTTAAAAATATTAAAGAGAAACACTAACCAATTTAGAAGGAGTACTCTGATGAGTCGACAGAGGGACAATCTTTGACTTTAGTTGTGAGAAACAATCAGGGACAAGCCCGAACTATGAATTGCAGGAAAGACCCTGGACTTGCTTAAGCAGGATAATGTCTCCTTTTACCATTTACAGCAGGATCACAAAAGATAATAGAGT